CTGGACTCAAACACTTCTTAGCTTAAGTCTACACTAAGTAGCCACTAAATGCCTCCGGAGAGGTCTGTGCTTGCTGGGCCAAGCCCAACCATTTTTTCATTTAATTCAGATTGAGGTGATTTTAGTGGCTGTTTTTTTTCCTGCCGTCCAAACCAAGTTGAATGCAGTATTTCTTGAAACCACCTGCGGCCCCAGCGGAAAGAGAGCATTAATTCAGTTCTGGTAACCTAAATCTAACCACCGAAAGAGCAACAGTGTGGCCCAATTGCTTTTTGCCATAGAAGCCGTTAGAAGCCACTGACCCGTGACTGTTCCTGCTTGAGAGGAGCCTTTCAATGGACACTTAAACCCCTCTTCCCCTTGTATTCGCTTATGTGTGCTTATTTTCAGTAGTGTTTACTGCCTACTTAGTTATTAGAAATAATAAGATATGTGGGACAAAATTCTGAATAAGACTTTGCTGCTTGTGAAGCAGGATAATGACTGATGCAGGTTAAAGGGAAACCTTCCAACAGCAATCATGTCAAATTAACAGTTTAGATGTCTGGGAATCATAATATGCACAGTACTGTGTTAGTATTTGTACTTTTCAGCTTTCCCAGAGGGATGTATGTATGGATGGATAGATAGATAGAATTCAATTTATGTTATCACGAGGGATGCATGATATATCGCTGCTGGCATTGGTATTGGCAGTTATTAGACATTTTTTTAAATATTGTTATTTTTGAGCCATTAATTAAAAATTAGCTTAAAGGTATCCTTGTAGCTATCTATAAACATAAATATCAGTGTATTTTGGTACTCATGTTCCTAACAATACAGTCATGGCCAAAAGTTTTGAGAATGATTCAAATTTTAACATTTAGAAGTCTACTGCTTCAGTTTTTATAACGGCAATTTGCATATACTCCAGAATGTTATAAAGAGTAGGCAGCAATTAATAGCAAAGTCAATATTTGCCTAGAAAAAGAACTTTATCCCCCAAAACACATTTCAACATCATTGCAGCCTTGCCTTAAAAGAACCAGCTAACATTGTTTCAGTGATTGCTCCATTTACACAGGTGTGGGTGGTGATGAGGACAGGGCTGGAGATCAATCTGTCATGATTAAGTAAGAATGACACCAATGGACACTCTAAAAAGAGGCTGGTGCTTGGCATCATTGTTTCTCTTCTGTGAACCATGGTTATCTCTAAAGAAACATGTGCAGTCATCATTGCACTGCACAAAAATGGCCTAACAGGAAAGAGAATCGCAGCTAGAAAAATTGCACCTCTTTCAACAATCTATCGCATCATCAAGAACTTCAAGGAGAGGGGTTCCGTTTTTGTCAAAAAGGCTCCAGGGTGCCCAAGAAAGACCAGCAAGCGCCAGGACCGTCTCTAAAAAGTGTGTCAGCTGTGGGATCGGGCTACCAGCAGTACAGAGCTTGCTCAGGAATGGCAGCAGGCAGGTGTGAGTGCATCTGCACGCACTGTGAGGCGGAGACTCTTGGAGCAAGGCCTGTTCTTGAGGAGGGCGGCAAAGAAGCCACTTCTCTCCAGGAAAAACATCAGGGACAGACTGATATTCTGCAAAAGGTACAGGGAGTGGACTGCTGAGGACTGGGGTAAAGTCATTTTCTCTGATGAATCTCTTTTCCGATTGTTTGGAACATCTGGAAAACAGCTTGTTCGGATAAGATGAGGTGAGCGCTACCACCAGTCTTGTCTCATGCCAACTGTAAAGCATCCTGAAACCATTCATATGTTGGGTTGCTTCTCAGCCAAGGGAGACGGCTCTCTCACAGTCTTACCTTAAAACACAGCCATGTATAAAGAATGGTACCAGAATGTCCTCAGAGAACAACTTCTCCCAACCCTAAAGAGCAGTTTGGTGATGAACAATGTCTTTTCCAGCATGATGGAGCATAAAGCAAAGGTGATATCTAACTGGCTCAGGGAACAAAACATAGAGACTTTTGGTCCATGGCCTGGAAACTCCCCTCATCTTAATCCCATTGAAAACATGGTCAATCGTAAACAATCATCAAGAGACAGGTGGACAAATCAAAACCTAGGGATTCTGACAAAATGCAAGCATTGATGTGCAAGAATGGACTGCTATCACTCAGGATTTGGTCCAGAAGTTGATTGAGAGCATGCCAGGGATTGCAGAGTTCCCGAAGAAGAGGGGTCAACACTGCAAATATTGACTTGCTGCATTAACTCATTCTGTCATTAAAAGCTTTTGTTACTCATAATATGAGTGCAATTGTATTTCTGTATGTGATGACAACATCTGACATGCACACATGAACGATCATGTGAAAATATAATATTTGTGTCATTCTCAATACTTTTGGCCATGACTGTAGAAAAGCACTCAATAAATATATGTTTGGGCTCAGTTTTAGAAGATACAAAAACCTAAGGAAAGCATTCGGGTGATGTAACTGTAGGTCCATCAGCCATAACCAGTGTCCCTAGCAAATTTCATCGCCCAGTTACAGTCCAGTTACAGCCTGTTCAGTGGTGGTCATGGCTGTTAGTCACCAGTCAGTTTAGAGCAAAAATAAACACCTCAGCCTCCTTTTACCTGTTTCATTGGTCGTTATAACTTCATGTAAGGAACATATACAACCAGGCCCATTAAGAACCTCTTAGTTTGTAACAAATCTGGGCAGAGACATATAGAGCAGGTTGTCTGTACCCAGGGTTGTGCTAGAGGAGGGGCACCAAATAACCCCAAAAATCTGCTTGGCCCCACAGGTGCCCCAAAAACAACTACTTTGGTAGTTGGGGCTCTTTGTAATATCCTAGACTTAGACTTAGACAACTTTTATTACTTAAAAAACTAAATTTTGTATTGTACAGCTTTCATAACATTTCCATTCATTAAAGTGCAACAGTGATCAAATGGAAACTGTGGGAGAAAAAAAACACATTGATATGAAAGTTCAGAGCATTAAATATGTATGGTGCAAATATGCAGAATTTTGGATGACGTTAATCAGTGTGATGCAGAGTCAGTGACATGCTTAGGAGTTTTCACAACTTTCAGCTGTCTGATGGTAGCGGGGAAGAAGCTGTTTCAGAATCTGCTGGACCTGCATCGAATTCTGCAAAGCATTTTCCCAGAGAAGCAGGGAGAACAGTCCATGGTGGGGGTGTTAGGGTTCATTGATGTTACGGGCTATAAAACACACTTTATAAAACCCATGGTTGTCACATTTTGTATAAAGGTTTGTACAGTTAACTTGAATTCTGTGTCAGCAATAATCTGGTTACATTTTGTGATTTAGTAGTTTTAAAAGTCTGGGACCCTCTGCTAAAGAGGGAAATATGTTGCAGTGTCCTTTACTCAGCACTAGATGGTAGTAAAAAAAATCTATATTTTAAATATGCTAAAAGTTCATCTGCCGTTTTAATTTGACACTTTATCTTAACCCTAACCAATTAATGCTGCAGATCATTTCAGAGCTGTAAAACTCCCTGATATTGCATGGCTAAATAAATAGACGGTTAAAACACCAACTGATCCAGAGAAAGGGCAGAAAACAGTAGATTTCAGAAAGTGTCACGCACAGAATGAGTCCCTTAAACGCATAATCCAAATTCTGTCATTACTGGTTCCCATAAAAATATGTTTAGGACAAAAATATGTTTAAATATTATGTTCAGGACTAAGATATGAACTGAGTTTAGGACAGGTTCAGGGTAAGTTATGTATCAGTTTTGGACATTAATATTTTTCAGGCTGCTACAGACTACAAATATTCAAACTGTCAGTTTCCATTCAGCAACGGCAGCCCTATCTTTCTCATCATTGAGTGATCTCACACCTTATCTCTTTGCTGCTGTAGCTCAGTCTAGCAGCTCTTGCTTCACCGGGTCTGACTGCTCTTATCTGCTCATTACAGTTTAATTATTTCTGCATAAATTCTCACTATGATTTTTTATTAGACACAAAGAGGAACTTTAAAGTTGCAAAGCTCTCTGTCTGCCTGTCCTCGCAGCCCAGAAACCAAACACAAAAATGAAGCAACTCTAGCTATAATCATTGCTGCTGGACTGAAAACCTTTTATCTCTAAAATGTAACTGTAAAAAGGTTTCTACTAAATGTATTAGAAGCTATTATTACAATATATGAAGGGTGCTAAACTGAGTTGATGTGAAAATAAAACAAAACAAAAAAATAGGTATAAGAGGGAAATACACTGTTTTTCTGAGGATATGATCATACAAAACCATACAAACACATTATAAAACACAAAGCAGCATGTAAACATGACAACTGATCAGAGATGCCACTGGTCTTTTTCCTGACAATACCCTGTACTAATCCTTGATGAAGGGACGTTCCAGTGATCCTCTCAGCTGATCTAATTGTTGCAGTTTGGAGCTGTCCTGTTTTGTAGTTAAGCAAACCACACAGAGATACATGAGCATAAAACAGGCTGAATAATAGCAGAGTAGAAGATGGTCAGCAGTTCCTGTTGAAGGTTGTACATCTAGAGTTGCAGTAGGAAGTCCTGTCTGTGATTGGCCTTCATCTGGTCCTTCTATGTGTGAGGACCACCTGAGGTCCAGAGAAAGGCTGATTCCTAAGAACTAGTGTTCCACCGATACCGATACCAGTATCGGGCGGGGCCCCGATCCAGCACTCAAACGGTGGTATTGGTATCGGCAAGTGCCAACAAATAGGGCAATAGGGCAAAATCTGCCATTGTTTTTTTTGGGGGGGTGGGGGTTTGTTTTTTTTTTTTTTTACAATCATTTAAATCTGCACACCACAAAGGCTAAAATCTTTCTGCAGTGGACAGGAAGTATAACCAACCAATGGCTGCTGTCAAAGTTGATGCTGTGGGATGAAGTTTGATAAAAACGGAAGGAAACAAACAGGCTGTATTTAGGGGTGTTTAGCATGCTGGTGTCGTATATGTGAGATCTAACTTCTTCATTATAGTTCAGATATAGTAGAAGCCTTTCTGATGAGCTGTGCAGCAGGTCTGGATGTGAGGATGATGAACGCTCTGCTCTGCATGCTGGTCTTTTTCTGTAAGGGCATATCTGACTTCCTGTTCAGTGATTTTAAAACAATATTTCTGAGTTTATCACTGTTTGATTCTTTTTCTCTGCCATCTGGAAGAGAAGAGATGTTTGTTTATTTTGCAATAATTTATTTAACCATCTGTTATCTTAGTGTTATCAAAGAAATACTTCTATTTTTTTGTGCATATTTTATCTCTTGATCTTTATTTTTAGAACCAAAATAATATAACCTGAAAGCTCTCTGTTATTAACTTGTATTTGTTATAATTTATCTTTTGTTCTTCATTGCAGTGCTCTGGTCTTTCATCTCTGCACAGGATGATGGTGAGAATCTGATTCTTATTTAAGTTTTGTTTTTTGTAACCAACTGACAACTTTCTAAATAATTTTAACATTTGTTGCATTTTTCTGGAAATTATAAGATTAAGAAATTCAGAACTAAATGTACAGTGAATTAGTTTTTTTTTTCCATTTAATTGTCTCAACACATCAAAGTGAAACAGCGGAGGAAACTACTACAGATGGTGAAGATTCATCCCCATGAGTATTTGGTATAGTCAGGACACAGTCTTCAAATAATATCTGCCCCATGATCTTCTATTATCACATATAGTGTAAAACTGAAACTATATATGAGTGAAAAAGTAAAGAGGAAGTTGTTTATGCCTCTTTGCAACAGTTCAACAGTTTTCTTTTTTCAGCAACATCTGCTGTCTGTTATCTGCAGGCACAAACTACTGTGTACAATAAATATCATTATTTTCCTATTTTTAATGGGAGATTTCTTCAAATTGGAAAATCAAATGATTTTCAAATGAGCTCTATTTAGTGTCAATATAGCACATTCCTGCAGCAAGGTAATTCAAGGATCTGTACATGAGAAAAAAAGGAAAACTAAATTGCAGTGTGATCACAAATAATTGAAAAGGGTAAAAGTCAATCTTGAAAATTCGACTTCCTTAAAAAAGAAGATAAAATTATTTTTAAAGAATTAAAAGAAAGTTCCACTATCTAATTGTGTTTAGAAAACATATTATAAGGCAGCACTAAACAAAAGCTGGTTTAATCTCTTATTTGTATAATCATACAGTACTACTTAGTTCTAACATTAACAGGGAGACTCAGCTGCTGGTGGTGAAAATTACACTCCAGACTCTTTTAAACCAGAGCAAGTATGAGTAATATTGATTTTGAATTAAAGTTAATTCAGATACAGACAGTTTCTGCTGACAGATTGAAGGAATGGGAAAATATCAGGTTGCTTTACTGAAATATTCAGACAAACTTAAAAAAAACTCCTCAAGATTTAAAGGAAACTTTTTGCATGATTAACATAGTTGAATAAACATAAAAGATAAACAAGATTTTTGTAATTGAACCATTGTTCTTACATTTTTTTTTTGTTTGTTTAGGTTTTATCTTTCCATTTTGACTCTCTTTCATAGTTTCCTACAAAGTTTAGGTAACTCTGCAATCCAACTGGTCTCCAATATTCAGAAAAGAGACAGTAACTTGGAGATATGAGATTCAGGGAGTAGGATGAAATCAGTAGATGCATAAATGGAGAACAACCAGCAGAAACTCACAAACATCTAGTGAATACAGGATCAGCAGAGGTACTGAATTCTAAAGTGGAGAAAACAGCAGCAGGGCTAGAAGAGACTGAGCTAACAGGATGGAGTAATGCTTTCATGGTGTGTTTACATTAAATGCAAACTTTTTGGCTCAAGCAAACAATTTACTTGTTATCCCTATTGTTGGAGAGCTGCAAGGAATTGCTGTGAAGTTTGGGTTTCTAGATAGCAGAATGGTGAGGAGACTGGTAGAATCCCAACCCGACCCCTAAACACTATCTTATACACTAACCCTCTGTTTTCGTTTTCCTGCAGAAGCTGGATAGGCAAGTGGACTGTTCAGTCCTTAAATCTGCATAATTTTAGCCTTACTGGAATTTGGAAGAAACACCTTAATTTAAATGTTAGTTCTACTGGTTTGCTGTATCTTTGTCATACTGACAGAATATCACAAGTTATGAAAAAAAAATATTTTTTTTATAGATTATAGATATAGATAGAGGAAAAGTCTTCTTTGAAATCGTTTTATTTTACCCTACAAATGTATTTTCAAGAAAGGGGCAAACATTTGAAACATAGATCAAATCACAGAGAAGAAATAATCTGGTCAGGTGAGAAGCTGAGACCTATGCTGTGGTTAATCAGGAAGACAAAAGTTATACACTACATCAGCACAGAGGAGCAAGAGAATAGAAACAAATCAATAAAGATCAGTAGCTGGATCATGCTGAAACTCAGCTCTAGTGAGTGATCTAGAAGTCACTCTGTGGTGTTTGAGGCTCCAATAATTTTAGGCAATAGGTCATAGTATTTCTTTCTGCCGCCCTAAAGGAATAGCTCTTTTCCTTTCTGCTTGCATCTTCTCCACATACTGATCACATCTTTCATTGGAAACTGTCATAAAGTGCGACCTGTACTTAGCACTTTTTCAAATGAGGAAACTTGACCAAAGTGCTTTACACCACATTCTACTGTGGCCCACAGGGGAAAGCAAAATCCAAAAACAACACAACAATGAAAACCCCAAATAAAGTTGGAATAAAACGGAGGCTGGTTAGACCTGAGGCCCACGTCACGAAGGAGGGTTATTGAAATCTCTAAGTTTGTAAAACCTGAAATCAGGGAAACTCTGAGTTTTCTGTTTCAAACATAATTTACTCAGCATCGGTCTGTGTTACCATAATAACATGCTCAACAGAGCTAACCTGGTCCGGAGCAGGTTTTCCTCAATAAACTCAAAGTGTCTTGTGTCTTGACGAGTATCCAATCGATAAAGAAGCAGCATTAATTTGAAGAGAATTAAATACTTATAGGGAGAGGGTTCTCAGAGTGCGTGTTGATATCCTTTCATATTCAGAAATTTATTTTTATGAGCACTACATCACAATCCATTACATACATCAAGAAACTTATACGTCCTCATATTTCCAGCTTTACAAAAAATTCTTAAACAGATATTTAATAGAGGAGCTGATCAGTGGCATGGTGGGTAGCACTGCTGCCTGGCATCAAGAAGGTTCCTGGTTTGATTACCGGCCTGGGGTCTTTCTGCATGGAGTTTGCATGTTCTCCTTGTGCCTGCATGGGTTCTCTCCGGGTACTCTGGCTTCCTACCACAGTCCAAAAACATAACTGTTTAGGTTCAACTGAAAATGGCTTTTGATACTTGTTACACAAGTATTTAACTTATGTAAGAAGAACTTCTTAGAGTTATTTGAATTAATTCACAGCGTCCATGTGAAATCGAAAAGTCAAAGTTTCAGACCTTGGGCCAGATCAATTTAGAGTTAAAGATTTAAATCTGAGTTTGTTAAACCTGCTCATTGAAACTTACCCCATGTTTTCCACAGCAGAGCTGGAAGAGTTATCTGGGGAGGCGGAAGTCTGGGAGTCTCTGATGAGACTGCTGCCGCCCCACGACCCAGTCCCAGGTGAAACAGGAGATTATTTTTGTGTGTGACATGTATCTACATCACACACATAACAATCGTTTTTCTACTATGAAACAAAACTGTATTATGGAACCTCAAGTTCCAAGGAAGTAAACAAGCAATATGTTTTGGATTTTTGAATCCATTCCGGGTATGGAGAGCATGCCCTGCTCTGATTGGAGCAAATGGGACCGCAACATGAAGCATCTTCCTGTCATGATGGGTCTAAAACTTCCTGCCCACATGCAGAAACACTCACAGAGAGAAAGTAAAAGTTTGAAAGTTTATTGTACAAAAAATAGAAACCGGGTTATCTCCGCTTAGTGGGTCCTGCGGCCAGGAATCCAGGTGCGACTGCACATAGGGAGAGAGTATTAAGGGGAGTTCACAGTTGGTGGGAAAAAAATGCAGAAGACTGATGCACTGTTGTTACTTGAACTAGCTGCCTGAGTTGGAGGGTGGTCAGAGGTTCCAATTGGTAGGGGCTGGTGGAAGGTGGATGAGTCTTTGGAGGGCGGACAGGTAAGTTTAAGGTGGCACAGAGGATCAGCAGAACCGACTGTCAGCTCAAAATTTTGATGAGGTCGGAGCTCAGATCAGGTGAGTTGTGGGACTCTCAGCGTCTCGAGAGGTTTTTCTTCCAGGGCTGGAAGGACTGTCGAAGATTCAAAAGAAAAAAGAGGTAAGAGCATGAATTCACTAATAAAGTTACAGAGATTGACCCAGCAAAAGCTCAGAGGGGCTAGAGTACCCAAAACAGGCAAACACTGAGCTGATGACAGTCTGCTGTTCATATACTCCTCTGAGGTGATGAGAGATTCGTTGCAGGAGTGGGTAGTTGAGACATGTAGGCAAGCCCTCCAAGAAGGAAGTAACCAGATAGCACCATCTGGTGGACAAACGGTGGAACTGAGAAAGAAAAAAAACTAACCCCACAAACTGGAACCACAACAGTACCCCCCCTCAATGACCACCACCCAGTGGTCCAGAAGAGCCAGAGGGCTGAGAGGAACGGAACTCTACTGAACCAGGCACCCAAGAGCGGTCTTCAGGACCGTAGCCCTCCCAGTCCACCAAGTATTGCCAAGTCCGCCCCGCCCGGCAGGCATCCACAATCCAGCGGACCTTGTAGGCAGGGTGGCCTTCAGTGTCCAAAGGGGACACCGATAGTATTGTCCCAGATGGCCTTACACGGGCGAATATGGTGCTGAACAGATGTGACCGAGCTGTCCTTTTCCTCAGCAGGGAACAGTGGAGGTTGATACCCTAGCGAGACCTCAAACGGGGACAGACCGGTAGGCAAGCCCTCCAAGACAGAAGTAACCAGATTGGCACCATCTGGTGGACAAATGGTGAAAGTGAAAAATAAAACAAACTAACCCCACAAACTGGAACCACAACACATCCAGAGGAGCATGCAGGCACTTTTTCAGGTTGTGGGTCAGCCACACTCCTATTACAGCTTTTATATGTTCTGTGATTGGAGCCACTATTAAGACTAATAATATAACAGAACAATGTCCAATTTTTTTTATTATCACATTCTATGACCGTCGCTTAAGACCTAGGCTACAACATAATGACAACAATAAGCTTTTCTATCGGTGTGTTTGATTAGCATCCATTTGTGCCACTATAGAGATATCTGAGAAAAGTACAATTTGAACTCAGTCGTGGCTGAGGAAAAGACACCAAAAAAGGAACAGATGCTGGTTTACTGAAAGAGTGAAAGGTAACAAATAATGTCTAACCCTTCATGGGTAATACAGGTTCATATATATGTGAAATAGACTCTTCAGTCACATCTTTAATCCCAATTCCTATCCAAACAAAATCACAATCAAATAAGCTAAATAGATGTCCAATAATAAATTACCAAGACTTTTGTTGGATGTATGTTTAATGGAATGCTAATGGCCTTTTTCTTTCCATATGTTGTGTTTTTATTAATTTTCTTCACCAAAATGTCCTTTAATGTGCAGCTTTTTAAAGTCCACTACAGATGCATCAAGTCAACAGGTTAGAAAACATTTTTCCTCCTCAAATTATTAATCAGTCTTTATATCAACTTCCATCATACAACAGGAATAAAATCTCACCAGTTTGACCCTGGCCTGCATTCTGAGACTGCCACAGGGTTTACCGGGGTCGCACTGGGTTTAGTTTCAAGACAACTTTTGTTTTAGTTTTAATTTTATCATGGATTTTGTAACCTTGTGGCGTGTGGCCTTTGTTCTGTTGTAGCTTTGGGATTTTGCTGACTTTCACCATCTCATCAATTAAATAGTTGTGTAGAAAATGCAATTTTCTCCTATACTGAAAGGACTAATATTCTTTCACCAAGTTATGTTAAAACTGATTTTTTTTACATGTTGTAAGCCTTTTTTCAGACATCAGTTTTAATGTTTTGAATTCATGACTTTGTTTGTCTTAATTTTTTCCATTGTTGTAACAAAGTTTACATTTTTCTTATGGTATTTAGTCAATGTACAGATTAATGGATTTCATTTGTTGTTAAACAGATTTTCAGCTCAAACAGCATTAAAAGTTTTTTGTTTTTGTTTTGTAAATGTTTCTGTTCTAACCAGATATTTATTTATGTGAGCAGTTTCCATTAAACCCACTGTGACTCTGCAACACAACTGGTCTCCAATATTCAGAGGAGAGACAGTCACTCTGAGATGTGAGATCCATGGAAGTGGAGGAACTGAATGGACGTATGAATGGATAACAACCAACAGAACCTCTCTGACATCCAATGAATCCAGGACTATAAGAGCAGACAGTGACTCCTACAGCTGCAGAGGAAAAACAAACTATGAGCAAACTCAATGGAGTGATTCTTTTTTATTAACTGTTGGTGAGTAGATCCTGTATTTTAGAAACAAGATTATAGTTTGAGATATTTTAAGTTGTTTTATCCAACCATTTTTTCCATTAAAAACATACAACTTGGATCTGTTAAATATTTTCATGTATT